CAATTTCTAAATAAATCTCTAAACTGCTCATTATTTCTTCATTTTTTATCGGGTAGTGCAAATTACGCTTCTAAAACTGGTGCAAATCCGGTTTGCATTTAACTATCTAAATTTCAAAAGTTACCATTAATGCGAGAACGTATGTGTTATTGGAACACCATTAGTTTTGTAACAAAGTAATGCAGTGTTTCACCAAAAAGAAAATGGCTCTCTAGTTAAAAAAGGTTGATGACCTCTGGCCTACACCTAAGATTGTTTCCTCTACGCACCCCCTCTGTCATTTCTAAAGCGATCCAGCTAGCCTATGATATTCTCGTTGTTCCACTTGTACTCAACAGTCGGCCTCTTTTGAGGAAGTGGCTGTGGCGGACATCCGCCGATACACCGGACGAAAGGCAAAATTACCGCTGACAGGAAAGTGAAAACAACATGCACTCTTCACTTACTTAAAAATATAGTTAGACCTTTATTACATTACACTTACTGCTTCAAACGTTCTACACGTATCAATAACTGTATTCTGACCCTGGTTCGAAACCCGTCGAGACCCGTCGTGACCCTGGTGCATTAGGGCATCCTATAGGACGGCAAAACTTAGAATACTTATTTAAAACTTCGAATGAATCGCAACAAATTTTGTAATATATATATTAAAAAGCAATAAACTTTCTGCCATGTGAGTTAGTAAAATACGTAGAAGTATAACCATAGATATCAAACGTTTCACATTTCTCCAGTCACATGAAATAAACAGAACAGTTTATAGGGAGGTATTGTTTTAATGGTTCACGGTTGTTTAAGGTGGTTAGGGCGAGATACGTGTTATATTAAACATGCCCTTTTTAATGAAATAATCGTATGAATCGTTCTTCTATGTTCTGGTAGAATTTGAATTGATTTCACCGCTTCGTTTGTAAGTAATCAGACCGTATAGTTTGTTCTTTTAATATACACTCTTGTGGTGACTTAGCAGACCCGACCTGAAATTTTACAACTGTGAGAAACTAGCTGTTGAAAATGTTCTTAGAAACTTAGGTAGTTTACATCACGAAGAATCAATGTGCGGAATTTGAGGAATATCTACCTTTCAAACGCGAGAATTGAAATAAGCGCAAGACAACAATTTAGTTAGCCTGAAGTTCTCCGAAATGGCTCCAAGTTTGATCTTTAAATTCCTTGTAAGAATAGAGTGAAATACATTTCTAAGGATGTCATAGGTCCAATTTACGCTCTCTACTTAGATTTTTTTTTAAATTTTAAGGATTTGAAATTAATTCGTTTTCCTACAACTACAAAATTGAAGTTAGAGCATTTTTATTCAAATGAAATTTGTTCTGCATAATCAATTCTTCCATTAAGGACGTGCACATTATTTTGAAAATTTTAATAGTTTTCCGCAATATTGAGGGAAATGTGAAATAATAAAAAATATAAAAACAAGAATTTCTCAAAAACGCCTCCAAATTTTTTCTTTGAACTATTAGTAGGGATAGTGCTAGATTACTGCAAAGAATGACAGAAACGCCATTTTGTTATATTTTTCTGTTTTTTATTTTTTTATATAAATCTAACTTTTTACGCTTTCCTCTATTTGTATTACCGGCGATTTCTATACATTATTGCGTTTATGAGTACGTGTGATTCAAATTATGCCTTATAAAATTTTTCGAAAACTCCAAAATTATATCTAAAAATGATCTCAGTATACACCATTTGCAGAAAAGCTCAAATGCCATTTTTTCGAAAATGTCACCAATTTTTTCTTTACAGTTTTGAACAGATAGTGGTCAATGGAATGTACAATATTACCTAATGCCATTTTGACATATTCTTTTATTTTTTCAAAAGCTACACATCTATTTTTTAGAGTCTTTCACGCCCTTAATATTTACAGTAGAATGGACTTTGATAACGTTTACATTTTTTGTAAAACTACATCTTCGATTTTGAAAATTGTATTCTTGAGAGTTGTAGCAGATGAGGGGATATTGAAGAACAACGTTTACTTTACGTAAAAAAAATGATATAGATAACATGATTCAGATCTTTAAAACATTTAAAAACCGCCCTATCAAAGCCATCCTTATTTTTGGGTGACTTTAATACCCTAAATTGAAGATCATTAAAGGCGTGTTTTAGTGATTATTATGTCAATTTCAACCCTCATCAACGTCAAAGATATCCTTTTCTACAAGCTTGAATATCTGATGAGAAGTTCTCCTACTCTTCCAACCGATTATTCTATAGGCCAACTAACTCAGTAATTTGCGGATCACACCTAAGCAACGTATCTGCAGGTTGTGTATTTCCGCTTTCCTGACTCCTCCTTCACCAATACTTACACACTCGGCTTAAGAGCTTGTAAAGTTGGTATTGACAATTAGGCCTATACTTCACTTATGTCTTTCTCACAGCTATGTGAGAGCTTGTCAGTTGACGACAATTCTCCATTAGTTTGCGAAACATCATTATCCGTCTCAGATGTTTTACTGTTTTTGGCATAAGTGATACTTTTTTCTAGTTCAACGGCATGTCTCTTCCTCTTTCTTACTTCCTTAGCACCAATATCAGCAAGTCTTTTATCCTCCAAATATGTAATCAGAGTCCTGCATAACATTTTCAACATTGTGGTCTAATTGAGTATCAGGATGTTTGGTCACAACTTTAGAAGGATTGTAAGGTGCAACGCCATTTTCTTTATGTTAAATAATGAAACATGTAATAGAAGATTGTGTTTAATACCATAATTTATTTGTCAAAAATACTAATCAAAGTTCCCCTCGATTTTTATTTTTACTGACTACGACTCTGACATTTTAGGTGAGAATATTCTTCCATTCACTATTTTTCTCCCATAGAGTCCTACTTCCTAGTAACTTTTTAGGTAATTCAATAAAATATATGCCATGGTCTCATCTTGGAAATTTTCCGCCGCATGAATTCCTTCAAAATATAATACACCAATTTTAAAACAAAATACAGCCATAGCTATCAATCTTATGACAGTAATAAGTCTATTAGCATCCAGAATAAGTCCATTAGACATCCAACTACCGCACAAGAAATGTATCAAGTCAAGACAAGTAGCTGCTACATCACATAAACAGAAGTCATGGAGATATCAAAGTCACCTTTTGATATCAAAGTCACCCCAATCTACGGTACCAGCGATTTGTATATATTATTGCATTTTTGAGTGAAAGTGCTTCAAATGACTTCGAATGAAGTTTCTCAAAAACTAACATTTCCGTGAAAAAGAGCTACAAATTTCGCTTTTACAAAAACATTTAAATGACATTTTCTCAAAAACACCTCAAAATCCTTCTACAAAAATTGCCATACTTGTCGAGGTTTTACTCTTCTATAATATTATTAAAGTGATGTTTCAGTTCTACTATTAGGGGACCGAAAAATTTGAGAAAATGCGGGAAAATGAAGAATGAATGAAGATGACAGCTGAGAAGAATAAGGGGCAAACCGGAAAGTTAGTACAGACCCAAGAAATTAGAAAATTAACTAGTTCGAGAAAGTCAGTTTCATTCTGTAGCACCATTAATTACTTTCTCGTTTACTGCTTACGAAAATGAGAACTGCATCATTCTTCAGAACTCATCACACTATCCGAAGACAATGTTTAATTATAAAATTTGAAGTCATTATATTTTAAGAAAATTTTGAAAATTGTTGATGTCTAATATACCCCCCAATCAAAACACACGATTCAAACTCAGAGGGCCTTGAGTTCATTGAAATAGATCAGGGAATATCAATTTTGGAGAAAATCCTATTGATTTGAACGATTTAGGCGCAAGCGTTGACCACATTTGGGCAGATGGACAGAGACGTTTTGCCGTCAATCAGTTTTTCGGTATCAAGGACCTACATAGCATGGTTTCTGACTACACAAGGGAAGAGGAAGTAATTTACTATACTAAAGAACAAGTTTTATCCACGTTTTCGTTTCGAGATCCCGGGTTTTTCTGTCGAAAATTCGCCATTTTCCGTCACACGATTGTCACTTTTTACAAAAAAAGTGTGAGAAAGTAAAAATCAATTCTTTAAAGAAGGTCGTGAACATATTTTTAAAATGAGTATTTTAGCGTAATTATATTTTTGAATTTATTTCGAATTTCCCGCTCTCTATTTGCTAGTCTTTCAGAATAAAAATCAGATAGGAAACGACAATGGCACGCTCGTCGCTACACGGCAGTTTGAAATTCTTAAAATTCCTTCTCGATGAAGAGAGATATTATAGCTGTATGAAACGCATTTTTAAGTGTCGAATTTGTTTGGATGTACCAGTTTTAAAATAATGAGTTTTTGCACTAAATATTCTACGATTTCTAATGAGTTTTACTAGTGATGATTTAGATGTGTTAAATTGACGAAAATTGCGATATAATGATAGTATGCAACAGTTACTGTGGGTGAGAATGTATTCGTGCTGCTTTAGCACTACTAGTATCTGATTTAATTAAGGATATGTATGAAAAATCATTTTATAATTTTTCTAAAGGTTAAAAATTTTAAGGGGCCATTCAAATGATAATAATGTTGTATTATAAATTATCCATTTCATTGTGTCAGAATGATCTGTCATATCTCATAATTAAAATAAATTAAATAGGTATTTTTATAGGTTTTTTTTTACTTGTGTTTTCTTGCATGAGTTTTAGAATGATGTAATGAATATACATCTTCCTTTAATATATCAAACTACGGCTTACAGCACAGCAGCGTAGCGTATGGGAATCAACCGCAATACCTGCGATAATCGATTCTGTGGAAATCAAGTAATAATTTTCAACGTTGAACAACCAAAAATAACACTTGAAGGTGTAATTAAAATTTTAAAAAATGCTTTATATAGCTGTTTCAATGGCTGTGATAATGTTGGTATTTAAAATTCCCGCTAATATTGTGCCGCAAACTGGTGCCTCAAACTCATTGGCTGAAGTTGGATACGATACGCAATGGCCCATTTCTTTTTATACCATGGTACAGTACATGGTGTGATAGCAAAGTACCAGTATAAACAGAGAGTAATTAATGCGCTATTTGCGTACCCGACATTATTACAATAAACAGATAGTATAAATGTATTGTGCTTACATGTGCAAGTGTACACTAATTTAAAAACAGTTGCATTTCAAGATCACAAGCTGACTGGAGATCTCAGTCATCTATTCAAGAGCTTCGTTACGACTTAAATTTTTGGTACTGGGGCAACTCTCTGACTGGGGCTCCCGATTATTAGATGATCATGCCCCCTTCTCCGTTCAGTTTTGACCCTGAAGTGCCACTATGTTTAAATTGGAGTATCTGTAGTTGCAAGTATATAGAATTGCAATGCATCGTGATGTGAATATAATAGTAAATGAGGTGTGGAAATTTGAGTCAGGTGCAGGTGGTCTGGTCAAGTCAGGTCAGGTGTGGTCATATGGGAGCATAGAGTATTATAGGCTGGAAGTGCAAGTAAACCGAAATAAACCACCGAATGCAACCTTACGCATGCTTATAATGTCACGTTGAATCGCGTGTGCCAGCGTGTGCACGTGCGTAGTAGAAGTTAGTGGGTGGTGTAGATCCAGTACCCGTTCTGCATTTATGAAATTATGAACTTTCTTTGAGACGGAGATGGTGTGATCAAAGTGTTCCAGCGAATGCATAAAATAGGAGAGCGATTTCACTGAAAGAATCTTCGAGAGATAAGGTGTAAACGCGTTTAATGGTCGGTGTGTATGTGCACAACTTGATGTACAATACATATTTTGCATCATACTTTTATTTTACGTCTTCAGATCATGACACTGAACCAAACCCTTACCCGGCGAGTTGTAAGAAGATTGTGTCGACCGTTGCCAGTGGCGGCTATTGTGACAGCTGTAGGAGTTGTTCAGATTCGGCGAATTATAAATTCAGATCGCGAGGCTAAGCAGTGGGAGGTAAAACTTTGGAAACAAAACATATTCATTATAGCATTTGACATAATATTTTTAGTCATGTAATAATTATTTAGTATGAATGAACTATACTGTACAATTAATCAATTTGTTTTTGTAATTATATTGTTTGTTAACTTTGTGATTTTTATTGATGAATTTTACTTGATAATGAATTTTGAAATAATATTGTTTATAGATAACATGTTATTCATCAGTACCATTGCGAATTTTGTCTCGAGGTTGGGGATGGATTTGCAACAAAGAATTGCCTGTCAAATATAGAGAATCTGTGTATTTAAAATATGCACAAATGTTCAATGTTAATATTCAAGAAGCTGCATCAGAAGATTTATCTTCATACACCAGTTTGTGCGACTTCTTTTGCCGCCCCCTTAAGGAAGGAATTAGGCCCATTGATTCAAAGGAGAATGTGGTGAGTTCTGCAATAAAGTGTAAAGATTAACATTAATGAGGATAAATATTGCATGAATTCTTGAAGCCTCCTGAGGCCTTTTTTTAAAGCATTTAATGAAAGTACATAATCATGAGGAATTGTCAGAGTTTTGTCTTTCATTTTTGAATATATTGTATTTCATTTTTTATAAATTTCTGCCATATGTAAAATTTTAGGGTTGTTGCGCACCTGGAATACCTGGAAAGGGCAGGGATTTTTTTGACCTGGAAAAAATAGGATAAGATCAGGGAAAAGCACAAAATTGCAATTTTGGAAGAACACATTGGAATTTTTTAAGTTAACGTTCCTTCACCCCCGCTGTTTGATTTTTTGAGTGGTGTTTCTTTCCGATGTGACAGTTTCACTCTTTGTCTCATGCCCTCTCTCACAGCCAAGGAAGTATTGAGTGTGGGTTTTCAGTAAGTTAGGAGTGTCTCATCAATCACATCAAAACAAAGATACCAGAATGAGTAGAGCTGGAAAAAGAAAAAAAGTTGTCATTATATTACCATCAAATATTTATTGTTAATTTAGTTTAAATAATTTGTGATATTACGTAAATTGTGATTAAAAAAGAAATTATATCATTAAATGAAATAGTTCATAAATTTACGTAAATTCTTATAAATGTATCTTTAACTCATTTGGAAATACTTTCTATGATATTTCAAATGACCTGCAAAACAAGATTTTGGGGTATGAAAAATCTGGAAAAGACAGGGAATATCAACATTTTCCAGCCACAACAACCCTGCTATTTGAAAAATATCTGTAAACTTTATTTTTGTGTGGAGGTTTCTCCTGCAGATGGTGCTGTTCTCAATGTGAGCAAGGTGACCTCACCAAGAGTGGAGCAAGTAAAAGGTGTAACGTATTCTTTGGAAACATTCTTGGGCGAACATTCACAGGACAAAAATGAAGAATCAACTAATTCTGGTAAACATTTTTTTTTTAATTGAGTTGCTAAACATTTACTTATTATAATTTTACAAATTTGTTTTGTTATTTACTTTTGTTTTTTCTTTTCAGAGGTATGTGAAAAGGACAGAAACTCTTCTTGCATTCAGTCGCTCCTGAAAAACAAAGAAAATGCTTTGTATCAGTGTGTGATTTATCTTGCTCCTGGAGATTACCATAGATTCCACTCTCCTGTTGATTGGGAAGTTAATCTTCGAAGACATATTCAAGGTAAATGGATAAAAGTTGGTGTAATTTTTGTGTCACCATATACGCATTTCTTTACATCATTACTTTCAAAATATATAATTGCAAAACTTAAAACTAAATAGAAATTTAACTACAGTACATACCGTGTTGACCAGTCATCTTGGTACCTGCACCTAGCCCTGATAATGATTTAGATTATAATTATTTTATTGTCATTTGAGTTTGTTTTGTACTTGGTTTTCATATTATTTTATGTGCGTTTTTTGTAATTTAATTTGAGTTTTCAATGAGTCTGGTGCAAACAATTATAAATTTAGTAATTTTATTTGATACAATAAAAAATGAAAAATTATTACATTCTTAAAACTGTCATAACCTTTCGGAGGGTGCGCCTTTGATACTCACAAAAGTGGGTGTGTAGGAGCACTGCATGCTACCTTGAGGAAACAGTCATTTGCACCCTCAAAACCTCTGTTATTTAATTCAAGAAGGAAAAATAAAACCTCTCAACTATTCATTGTTACTTTTTTTGGATTAATAATACATTTTACAAATCACAGAAATGTGGCTAATTTTACATATACAATAATAAATAAGACATTGTGACCTGATAAGAAACCTTATAAAAAAAAATCTAACAAAGAAAATAAAATTAACATGAAAATTGTTATTAAATAGACACATTCATTAAATGATGCAGTCAACTGTGCTTAAATTTTAGAAATGAATCAATTGGTTTTCGTCTAGCCGTTTCTAGTAATTCAAGATGATGTCTCATGTCTTCTTCTTCTGTACACAAGTTTCAGCTCTTTAATAACGAGAAACAAGAATAAGTCTACAAGAAATAAGAAAATCAACAAAAAACAACTTTGAACTTCTTTAATTTTGCTTACAGTGATCGAAAGTACATGTAAACTAACAATCTGAATAAGTAAAATGTTTGTTTGAAATGTTAAATACTTACATGAGTAGGTGCAATGGAGTACGGAATGCTGGAGTCAAAATTCCGTTATCTTCAAATCGTGTTTTTAAGATTGATAGAGAGAAGGCAAAGGACAAGAGATTCCTGCGTTTTGTTTAGAATGTTCTCAAATGAGAATACTGAAGCCTCCTGGCATGTCAAATTGCCATATTTCCTTTGAGTACAATAAAAGCACAAAGACAGCACGGAGTTCTACCATGCACCCGCCGGAAGGTTAAATGTGGATTTTTAAAAGCAATCTGCTTTTTAGTGCTAGGGGAAATTAAGCCAATCTTGTCTAGTAACATTAAAATATATTGCTGATATAATTTTTATCAGTAAGAAACTTCAATATAAAATGTACTTTAGGTTAAAATATGTTTAATTAAGAAAATGTACCCTGGAGGAACTTCCTTGTAACAAGTTACTATAGATGACTGTAATTATAGTACGTAATTGGATTGCGTTTAAGTACTTGTTTATTAAGCCTTACAAAAATCTCTTATTCAGCACAGCAAGAGCTGTACGGTTCTTTTAAAAAATTATCTCAAAAACTTAAAGTGGAGTTTATTTTGTTTCGTAGTGATTGGAGACAAAGGTGCATGGATCATGATTGACTCACTAATGGCAGTTAGTTAAAAGAGAGTATACTGTTATAGTGTTGAAGAGAATATGAAAAAAATAAATAAATAGTAAATCTGCAATATTCTCAGAATGTAACTGCAATTGTTTAAAGTTATGTCACACAATTTCTTACAAATTCAATTAAATTCAGTGTTGCTTTATTTTATGTGGTGAGACACAGGCAATCAGGCTTGCTCTTCCTTCTGACCAAGCAAATTTCGCTATGCTGCTTTCAACATTAGCAGAAAAAGAAGGTATCTCTCGGATGATGAAACAGATGATTTAAATTTAGCTCAGAAGCTTCTTTTAGGCTTGATGATCTTTTATATGCAGTAAATCTACAACATGAGACAACAGTCTTTACTTCCCTTCTGAGCAAAGGTTTGTGAAGGATTTTTTTGCCCTTAAAAATCCTTGGCTTTGATCGTACTTGAACCCCCAAACTTGGGTATAACAGCCTGATATGTTAACCATCATACTACCAAGCCACCAACAGATTAGAGATCATGTAGGCATCTATACAAATATTTTATTAGGTACTAATTCAGTTATTGTTTCTTCATAATTACCACCAGTCTTAATTTTGAATAAGAAACATTTAGAATGTTTTTAATGCCTTTATTTGTTTTCAAATATTATAACCTCTCATAATGTTCATTTCATTATATTATTTTTATGGAAAATATTGATGTGAATAGTTCGAAAGTAAACATACACTACTGTTGTAGTCATTATCCTGTGTCTTCGACCGCCACCCTGATTGAGGTATTCTGTCTTTTCATATATCAGAATAGGCTAAATTTTGAATTCCAAGAAGTAAATATAAAGATCTGCTAAACTCTCTCTTACTACAATATTTAAAATAATGTAAATATTTAATGTGGTTAGGCTGGTAAGTAGGCCTGACCCTCCCCTCTATTAAATAAGAATAAGAAAGCCTGAGAATCCCTAGGTGGGTTACAGACTCTTCTTATGGAGGATTGCTCTTAGTAATATTCCACAACTAAGCAATATTTGTGGGTCTTAACACTAATAAAAGATAACTTTATTTTTCTTCTTATTTATTAATTGTACTTTTTGTATTAATGTAATTAAAATTTCTAATAGGAGAATTGCTGAGTGTAAGCCCTAAGATTGCTCGCTTAATTCCGGATCTTTTTTCTTTGAATGAACGAGCTGTCTATATTGGAGAGTGGAAACATGGGTTTTTCTCGTTTACTGCAGTTGGGGCCACCAATGTAGGATCCATTCGTGTATATGTTGATGAGGTAAATTGAAAACAGTTTTATCTTACTTTGTCTTGCATTTCAGTGATTTCAAATATCTGTAAAATTTGCAGAATAAAGTTTATTTCATGTTTGTAATATTCTTGATTGCTCAAGGTTGAGTAATGTATGCAAAATTAAATGCAGAAATTGAATTCAAATAAATGTCAAAAGATACTCTTTAGATACTTTCATACTAATTTTATCCCTTTATTTTATTTATCAACCCGATCAACCGATTATCAATTTTATCAACCCGATGTTGAGAGGCATCAAGGCATATAAAAGTGTTTTTTCCCATAGAACATGTCAAATAGTGTTCCAAATATATTTAATATGTGGCATAATACTTCTCTTATTCAGTAAATTATCCATAAGAGTTCTCAGAGAATTATCATCACATAAATATTTTTGCAATAAAACTTCTTAAGAAGTATATTGTAGCTATATATTGTGGCCCTAGCAGGCCAGGCAGTAGAAACAGACTCTGCTAGGTGTTTTGGGGGACTGGTAAGCCGGGCATTCTAGTGTTCAAATAATAACTTTTTACCAACTGACCATCACTTGTTTAAATATAACTATCTTGTTTTTAATAAAGAAAATTATAAGTGAAACAGAATAGTTACACTCATAACATTAAAGTGATGTTTTCATTAAAAATGTTTAATTTTTTTTAACACATGTGAGGAATGCTATTTCAGTTGTCAAACCTTACCATGAATGCAAATTTTTATTTTTGGGGTATAAGAGACCTTTTTAAATGCTTCACTGTGGGAAGGAGAAGAATAGTATAGCCCCTTTAATAGGTGTGTATTGTAACAATTTGTAATTTAAATTTTCAGGTTCTGACCACAAATGAACGTAAATGGAAATTTGGATCAAAATGTAGAGAGGTTTTCCTCTCAGATTCAGAGGGCAAACCGTTAAAAGTGAGGAAAGGAGATCCATTTGGAGAATTTCGCTTGGGATCTACAATTATCCTAATTTTTGAAGCTCCTAAGGATTTTAAATTCCATATTGCTCCTGGTGATAAAATTCATGTTGGTCAAGCCATTAGTTGCAATCATATTTGACATTGGTTTGACAATTAAGAGTGATAAATATATAAATGATCACAAAATAGATTAGATCACAAAGTAGATTTTAAATTCTGCAGTGCTCTTCATGATACATTTCATGTTTTGCAAGACATTGGTAGCAGTTATTTGACGCAGATAATAGGAAATACATGAATGAAAAGAGAATTACAGAATTTCTTTTTCATTCAAACATATGGAATTGAATATTGAATTGACTTTTGTATCTCAGGAAATCGTGGTCACAATGGAATTACATTACCAAAACCTTTTGATAGTAAAGATATAAGTACGGTATTGTCAGTGGCGAAGCCTGAGGTGTTCAGGGCAATAATATCATCACCCCTTCCCTCTTTAATTGAAGATAAAAAGGTATGGTATCAAAGTATGTTGCATATATAGATAGTATATTTATTCGTTAAAAGATTACACAATTTTTGTATATGCAATGATTATAGGAGTTGGAACAATATAGTGGTAACCCTCATTTTTATAATACTTTTTTATCACAGGAAAAATAAAGTGTGTGAAATCCATCTGCTTTCTTTACACATTGTCTTTTGAACACATTTATATAGCATTTTGATCATAATAGTTTTTAGAAGAAATTGTATGTTAGATCATTATTTTAGGTGTGTAAAAAGAGTATCATAGTTGCCTCTACCCATCAGCTGAAGTTCAATTTTTTGAAAACCATATTTTCAAATGGAAAGCAAAGTTTATGAAGTGTATGTATGTAAAATGACTGACAAAGGTTACGAGTATTAATATTTATAATAATCATTTATTGCATTGAGAGAAGTTGCACTTCTTACTTTGGAAACAACTTCAAATTATCAGAGAAAATCTGAATCAATGCATAAAATTATCGATAAATGCAATTTTAAAATAAAATATTCAGCTTATACAATTTTAAATTAAAATTTTAATTTGGTGTCACCTGGAGCAGACGCTTCACTCTCTCAAGGCCACCTTTAACTACCAACCATTCAGTATTCTCAATACTTCTGGTAGAGGATTCAGGTGTTGTGACTATGGCTGTGAATTGTAGTTCTCATAATAAATTATTTATATTAATTTGTTAATAGGAAACATTGCAACCAATTTTTTTATAAAAATGTATTTTCTATTGAGAAATTAAAAAACCTTTATTCTAAAAACTTTAAATGTATATAATGAATTTGCAGTGATAAAGATAATTGGGATATGTTAAGGAGGCAGCTTGTTCGCTTTTTGTTTTTGGAAGAAATAACATTTTTATTTCATTGTTGCAGTAGTGTTTTTAAGCTTGGGCAAACATTTGAGTTCTTGTGGAAACTTCTAAGTACATTTTTATTGTAATTACAAAAGACTATTAATTGAAGGTCTTTTAACTAAAACAGTAACTATACAATTTTTATTTATCTTATTAGTTTTACACAATTACTAGGATATATAATGTTAAATGTATATAATTAGAATTATATGTGTGAGTGATGTGTTCCAATATTTATTATGCTGTGATCTTAATAGTATCGGGGCATTTGGGCTTGATTCATATATATAGTAATATATTATATATATATTATATAATAATATATATATATATAATATATTATATATATTATATATATAATATATTATATATATATATAATTATTATCAGAATGGGTGTAATTATAATTTGCCAGTTACCAAATTAAACATGCACTAACTATAGGATGGAGTATTAAGAAAATACCCCAAAAAAGACAACTGTAATTTCTCAAAGCAGTATTTAATTTGTTCTAGGAGATAAAATATAATTATAAGAACATCACCACATCTATGTTTCCTGCAAAATCTCTCATTTATGCTTTTGTATTTTAGTCTTTTTAAGCTGTGTAAATTTGTTAAATTATCTGAAGGTATTTTTTTATTTACATTTGACCCAACTGATATTTTGTTTCCTAGTGACTTTGCTGGTAACCTATCATTTAACCAAAATATTTGATGCCAAAGAGAATGACTGTCAGCTATTCTTCTAATAAATCACAATAAAGTATGGAAAACTTAAAAGATAATATAATCAAATTTTAGTGCATTAGTAAAGCTTGAGGTTTTGAGCAGCAAAAATATAAAACATACATTCATTCTGAAAGTAGTGTCCATTTTTATTAGAAAAATACTGAATTTTTGTTAGTCTTGTTGCACTTCAGGAAGCTTACTCCAGTGTTCACATAGCTTATCAAATGTAGACAAATATGCAACATATGTACTGGCACCTAGTGTTTGACTCCACATTTATCTATATCATATAAATTTATGCTGGAAAAATGTTTTTCGACACATAGGCTATGAAATGTGACAAATTTAATCAAAATCATTTAATGTGTGCTTCATGAATGATGATGTGAGGCATTTGTTATCAAAAACAGCTCATTCCATTATTTGTCAAAATGGCCTGTTTTGATTTTTTGCTAAGTTAAGGATTCATTACCTCACGAAGGGGTATAATTGAAATCCAGCTTATTCCCATCTAAAGTGTGGTAAGAACATATCTTGTTCATATTAACCATGTGTAGGGCAAGATTTTGTTTCTTTTGTAAATAAAATGTTTGCAAATGAAATGGACTGGTTTTTATAGCTAGTGAATATACTAGTGTGTTATGTTATATCTTAATTTTATTCTTGTAATGAAATATATAATGCAGTGTTGTTTAAATGTTTCAGTGAAATTTATTTATACCTTAAAGATCCATCACTTTATTGTAACATACAAGCTCACAAACAGTCATCCAAGTGTTGCCCCCTCCCCCATGCACCTGCACTCATTTCCAATTACCTGACTTACCTCCCACTTTTGCAGTTTTTCTGAGCTATCTTAAATCTATGGATAGGTGACAGTGCATTGACCTAGGACGGCCAGAGAAAGGAAAGGGCCTAGGGCATTTAGACAAACATAGTAAGCAAGTTCAGTCAATTCTTGGTGGTATTGAATTCATTGTTTTTAATGTTTGGGTACTTTATTTTCATTTGATATTAGGTTTTTTTAACCAATATCCAACTTCACGAAAACTAGTGCGCGGAAGACCTTGAAAGCTGGTTATTGTATGCATTGTAGTTGCTACTGCTTCCGACAAATAATTTTCCTCAAGGAAATTAAAACCCTTCCCGGACAATATATTTCTAAAAAATTACAAATCTTTCAATTATTGCAAAGTATACCAGTGTAGTCAAATTTTTGAAATTAATATAATTTCGTTATCACCACTAGTTGTAGCCATAACTAATATCAGGAAATGAACTAGTGTAAAACATTTCCAAACAGTAGTTTTTGCAAAGTGCTGGAGTGCGATCATCGTATTTTCGAAACACTTTGGTTTTGTATGAATTCGATTACCGCCAATCGACTCGATGCATAACTAATACAAAAATTCGAGTGTTTGCTGGAAATCAAAGCGTTTACCATGTGGCGGTCACTTCAAACATTTATATAGCCTGTATTTGAAATTAAAACTAGCAAAAATTTCTGTGAACAACGCCATCTACAGAACTAAATGTCAGAGCTGTGCCTACTGAAGTTGGTATTGGTCTGAACTGAAGTATATAGTCTCTGAATCCTCAATGAACTCTGAAGTTTACAATGTTGAAAAGAACTTTGTCATCAAAAGTTATTTTACTGTTTTGTTCTGCTACTAGTATTCAGAACAGCTGATGTAAACTTTTATTATTTTCACAATACATGATAGGTGTGTGCACCGAGGGACCGTGCCTCCTGAACATCTGTAATCTACTGTTTTTACTATATTGGTTGAATCATGAATAAATAGGGAATGATCAAATAATTCATAATAAAATTCACAATTAATAAATTAATTTACAAAAATAATAAATACAAATTAAGAAAAATAATGAATTAATTCAATTCTTTGAAAATATTCCTTCAAATTTCTTGCTTCTAATTTTTATATTACTCAACATGAATGGGTTTCATTCAAGTAAGAATATCTTCCACACAAGTTTTTTTCTTGCTCATTTTCGTGTAAAGAGAAAATGCAAGTAAATAGTTAAAAAACGTGTTATTTATCGCATCTTTTACTGCTAAATATTATAACCTCACTTAATTCTATACGCTGATTAGTGTTTTCCTGAGGTAGCGAATGTCGTATAACAAATGAAGGAGTAGAAATGTGTCCGAGAAAACTCTCTCGCTAACCGACTCGAGCGAGGAATTGTTTCTCCTCCGCAGAGGCGAACGAGAAATATCTTTCAAGTGCGTGGGGGTCAAAAGTGTCCCTTGTTCCGGTATTCTACATATTTCTGTGGAATGTGTCGCTTATTTCTGGAAACATTCCTCAGTGTAGTTTGTCGTGGGCCTTACACAGTCTAAATGGTAATTAGTATATTAAATAGCCATGTTAAAATTAGTATTACTTTTCTTTTTGATGCTCTTAACATTTTACTATAATTTAATTAATTCTAAATGAGATATGTTTTATTAATTTACTTCTAAAATGTATCGTATGTAAATAAAAAATGTTAAATGAACAAGGAGGGGGGACTAATGTAGACTCACCAGAGTGCGCACACCCATGCTGCAGTTATTACGAAGATTTTACTTCGAGAGGCTACATTATTAGCGATGTTATTTGAAATATGTAGTGTGCTGGGATCGCTTTTGGCACGATCTACAAATTTCAGAGTGAAAAATATTGTCTACTGCATGATTCTTTTCGAAAGCCCGCCGCCCAGGTCGGAACCCAATGGAGAGATCGCTCTCGCCGGCTCTCGCTTCGCTTTTGATACATGACGATCGGGAATGCGTCAGAGAGCGCCAGAGCACTTTGAGTGATTCGTGCACGTTTGTGGACATTGGCAACTGGTGTTTTGTTCTGGCATTTTGGCTGACAGTTGACTAAGTGGATTGCTCAACAAGTTCAATGTCAGAATGTTACACACAACAGTATCTCTAATTGTGAAAGACGTGAATGTTTCAGTATGTGTTGTGGCATGACATCATTTCTTATCCTTGAAATGCTGAAATGACCAACTACTTTAATGCAAATTTAAACTGTCAATGTTAATGCACTTAAAAAAAAACATTAGTACTTGTCACACGTTACAGTTCCCTTTACCCGTCGTGACAAACTATCAAGGATGGCAACTTATCCTAGTATTTTGAAGTATTCACCATTCAGTTCCTTGGTAGAGCCAAGTTTTTGGCATAAATTAGCCCAACTTAAATTGGATGTGGATAGATTGGATGAAACAGAACGTAAAATATGGGGCATGTATCATATGACTCCAGTGCCAAATCGAGTTTCACGGTTTATTTTAGATTGCACAGCATTCAATAGGTAAGACTATATTTTCAGAAATTGTTTTCAATAATAAATATATATTGTTGTTTGTACATTCATTCCAAATACTAATACATTTGTGTGTGTTTTTTTTAGCGATTTTAATCAACCCCTTAACACCATGGGTGCATATGGGGCCCTTTTGAATAAAAATACAATAGAATCATTTAAATCAACTGACAAAATGGCATTACTAAAGGAACATGGCATGAAAATGGTAGAGAGTATTAAGAGCGGAGAAGCCTTGATGAACCCTGCACTATTAACTAGATTTCTACTTCTTACATTCTCTGTAAGATCATTATATATTTCACTCATTTCACTTTCAGTATGCTGTCAAAATCTCTAAAATGAAGGTCTAGAATATTAACATTAGTTGCTTTTTTTTATTAGTTATAGTTTATTAATTTTATAAGAACTTCCAGTCAGTTTAAAACCTCATTTAGATGCTAAATGGAATGAATTTGTTGGCACTTTTTATCTTTCATAGTCTCTTCTTTTGTTTACGGGAGAAGAATTGTAATTAAAAAAATAATAATTGTTGTAATCTAAGTAATCTTTATTTCATACAAGTCAATGTGGATCAAATTTTAATATTGTTTTGTGTTTTCATTTTCTAGGATCTCAAGAAGTATCGCTTTTATCACTGGTTTGCTTTTCCGGCATTTAGTGTTCCAAATGCAAACATCAATATTGTCAGTCCTCCAAGAAAACTCACTGATGTATTCACCAATCACCAAGTAAGAATTTTGTTTTCGGTACAAATTGGCTAAAATAATATTTTGTGTATAAAGTGACCATGACCGTTTTGTGTATAAAGTGTACTAGACACCATTCTTTTTTTCTTTCAGTTACTAGCTCTTTATGAGAAGTACTTCACTATTCCAGAGTGGAATCAAAAAGTTGCCTTTATTTGTGAAGTGAACGAATTAACTACGAAGTGTTATTCTCTCACTGAGGTTAAAACACTGTTCAGCAAATCTAATAATGCAAAAGTGAATGAACTATATCTGGTTATTTCAGATCCTTCTACTCTGCCTCAGAACCCGGGATGGACTCCACGAAATATATTGCATATGCTAGCATATCATTGGTAATAATGGCATGAATTTAGAAAAATGTAATGATGTATTCTAACGAGTTTTTGATTTATTCATTTAAATAAACAATAAAATTGTTTTTGCTTTACTGTCCTTGCTCTCTGCCATTTATTTTGCTCTGTTTTATTGTCAGGCAAGTGTAGCATTAATTTTATAATGTTAAAATGGTTAAAATTTAGTATACGGTACACCCTTAGAGAAGGTTGGTGGCGGGGCTTAAGCCCTAATTAAGTACTGTACTAAAACTTACGGATAGGCGATTTTCATGGTTCGCCCTTCATATGCTTTGTCCCCGCATTGTAACGCCAATTTACTTTTAAAGGCAAGTTTTCTCGCTTCGCTTGCTCGGAACCAAGTCACGGCGAGGCTCAGGCCTTCAGCCCTCGCGTTCACTGTAAACATCGTTGAGTCTATCCAACACATAATTACCAATTCACTTTTATAAGACATCACTTATAACCAGAATGGGGCGAAGTGCCGGTTAAACGGCTTCCTTAGGTTGTACCATATACTACATTTCAGCCGTTAAAATATTTCATTCATTAAAATACCCTACTAACAACAGTTTTTTAACAGCCCAGATATTTGCCAACAACACATCAGAGTGATCTGTTTACGTCTTTCTTGCCAAACACAAGATGCTAGTTCTGATCAAAGTCTTCTGTTTGAAGTTGTGTTGCCTTATGTTAATTTGAATGATGATGAATTTGTGGAAAGTTTACAATGGGTAGGCTGGGAACGTCACCCCAACGGTAAAATGGTTCCTCGAACAACAGATTTAAGTGAGGAAATGGATCCTTCTCGGTACGCCATTCATCAGTTTTTCTTTAAGCTTATTTTAGGAATTTATGTAAGATGCAAGATAGAAATTTTTTTTCTTACATTTATAAATTTTACTTCTAAAAATAAACTTAACTTTAAAAATAATGTTTCTTTATGTTATATAGCTTATAATAGATAATAATTTGACCTTTTAACAGGTAGTTCAGTATCGCCAACAGTTTATTTCATTTTATGATATTTTGGCCCACACTTGGGACCCTTTTCAAAACAACTGAAATTACAAAATTGTTACAAGTATGTTAAACATTTTTATTACAATAGAATTTCATAAAAAAATTGTAAATAACCATCATGTCATTTGTATGTTCAAAAATGTAAGTTCATCCTGTAGAGTTAAAATTGGTCAAACATCAATACTTCAATTGAAATATGGTCTAGCTAAAATTAAAATACTACGGGTATAAGAGTCTGAGTTTGAAGTTGGCTCTAAGAACCCACTTCAAATATGCCATTATCTGACTGTTAGTTTCACAATAGATACATCTGCTATACCAAAAGTATATTATATTTTGTCATAGTGATAGAAGAAAATTTGAGAATATTAAAAACTTGTTTTTTCTTCAACATAATTTTTTACAGACTTGCTGAATCTTCAGTTGATTTAAACTTAAAGCTCATGAAGTGGCGCCTTGCTCCAAAATTGGACTTGGACATAATTAAGAAAACCAGCTGCCTCTTGCTCGGATCTGGAACTTTAGGGTGTGCAGTTGCTCGCACATTATTGGTATATTCATTTTTTCTACCACTCTAATTGTCTTCTGATGTATGCATTACTATTGTTTTTATCTTTCTGGTAACTTCTAGGGTTGGGGTGTGCGAACAATTACATTAGTGGATAATGGTCGAGTCTCGTACTCCAATCCTGTGCGTCAGAGTCTTTTTACACATACTGATTGCATTAATGGAGGCCGACCAAAAGCAGAAGCTGCAGCTGATGCATTACGGGCAATTTTTCCAGGAGTTGTAAGTATTTTGGAAACTTAAACTTTTCTGAATTAAATGTTTTCTCTTAATGTGTGCAGAAGGTCTTCACCTATTTTGAAACATTCGTAGGAAATCCTGTGGTAGTGTTACTTTCACATTTTTAGAGACTATGGGGGGAAAAAGATTGAATAATTTTAGGTAAACAAGACTAGGTGTTAGATTGATTGATAGTTAGTGATCTCGGGCACATAAACTGCTAAGGTCATTAGTCCCATGAGTGTAGTGCATGTTTTTTCTTCGGGAGCATGTGGGAAGACCATCCAATGGTCTTCCCTCTCTGGATGGGGAGATTCGGCCCCAACTTGCCATCAGCTAGCAGGGATTTCCTTAACCGGGTATCTCTCCACCAGTGGGCCACCACCCCAGCTCCCGACCGGCCTCCCGGCATGTGTGGTAGTGGAGTACATGTGAGTATGCGTGTGTAAGTAAATTGTGAGGATAGGACAAGAATGAGGAAGGAGAGATTGTGTGCAGTCCTTGGCCTGTTTGTTAGGGTACTGCTCTGGCATTCGCCTGGTGTAGATCAGAGAAACCATGGAAAACTATCGATCAGAGTAGCTGGCCAATAGAATTCTCCTCCAGACAGCGATTGAATCCAACCTAGCTGACAAGCCAGTGTCGAAATTCCTGCCTCTGTTGGGACTAACACCTAAGACCTCCCCGTCAGAGGCACTGCATTGATATCAGTTGATGCTACGAGCCACTTCTCATGATAAAACAGGACCACAGGTTTATTCATAAAATTATTTACAAGTTTGACTTGTACAAATACATATTTAAACTTTATGGTTATCGCAGAAATATTGTGAACGTTCACACGGATGGTTGAAATAGAGACGATACAGTACATTGCATACAGATATTACATTACATCATAAATGTTTTCAGTAATTTGACTTCATCCTTAGTGCTCCCCATCAGGGTACAAATCAAAGCTGTTAAACATGCACCCTTGTTGGCACCAAGTATATATTTTATTGTGGAAGATGCTTTATATTTTAACTATCCAAATATATAATATATATATATAATATATATAGAATATATTATATATAATATAATATAGTATATATATATATATAATATATATATATATATATATATATATATATATATATATATATATATATATATATATATATATATTATATAATATATATATATAATATATTATATATATATATATATATATATATATATATATATATATATATATATATTATATATATATAATATATATATATAATATATATATATATATATATATATATATGCTATTTGTAAAATGGTGTACAAACTTCTTTAATCATCAGTAGCACTGTTTACCCTTTGAGGTGGCTTGTATGTAGATGACAGTATTTAATATTTTTTGTTACCTAGGTTCATACCCCTGCAATAATTCCACCATGAATTGTTTTCTCCTTGTGAGCAAAATGATGTTGCTGCTGAGTTTCATGAAGTACATCTATTTCATCTTGAATCATGAAATCATCTCTGGTGTAAGGTCTTGGCTCTAGAACACCAAAGACCCATCCATAATATGTTTTATGAATTTTTCGTTCCAGTATTAAATGAATCATTTATATCTTCTCATTTCATTAATAGTACATTTTCATCATATGATTCATCATTAGTACATGTATTCAGAAGCACATAAAGGGATGTACACAGTGCAGAACAGTTCCATTTCACCACAAATGTAAACAGATAACACTAGTGTACTCACAATTATTGGTTCTTCATTGTAAAGGTGAATACATGCCTTATAACTCCATCTTCATTTTTGCTTTGATGTTTCAATAAGCTATTTAAGTATGCATCACATGTATAGTTGCTCCAATTGTTTTTTATTTTACTTTTAGAAAGCCAGAGGCGTTCAGTTAACAATACCAATGCCAGGCCATGTAGTAGGAGAAAGTATGTATGCTGAAGCCGCTTGCAGAGTTGAAATTTTAGAAAAGCTTGTTGAAGATCATGATGTGGTGTTTCTTTTAATGGATTCACGTGAAAGTCGATGGCTCCCTACTCTTCTTGCGGCTATTCACAAAAAAGTATGTAAATTATTAAGTATTATTGCAAGTTAGTGTGTTTCTGTTTTTATTTCAATTTAATTTAGCAATTTTGTGAATAAATAATTTGCAGATTACGATATGCTCAGCTTTAGGTTTTGATACCTATTTGGTTATGCGACATGGCGTGCTTCCAAAAATGGATTCAGATGTTGATAATGATAGTGCTGGTACTACTTCGGAAAAAAGTTCTAATCTCGGATGTTATTTTTGTAATGATGTTACCGCACCTGGAAATGTAAGTTATTTTACTTATAATAGATGAATATTGCATGTAATTGAATGACTTTGAATAGAAAATGGTTAATTCGGTATCTGAGACACTTTCAAGTAATTGCAAAGATAGTATACGTATTTATTGAAAATGGGCCAATTGCGATTGTGGATTGCAGCCTAATGGAGTTTATAACAACATTTTTTATCAAGTTAATGATAATAAAAACTTCTTTCTTTTTTAGCAATTATTTGAACATTAAACAGTGTGTAAAACTTAAAATGTATTGGTGTAAAATAATAATATAACAGGTGTAATGTTAAAAATGGTAGCTTTCAGCAGGAATCATTTGCTTAATGAGCAACTTGCAGTTTTCAGAGAAGTGTAGTGTAAATTATTGTTAATGAACTTTGAAGTATGTTCATGTGGGTGGAATTCTACATAACTGAAGATGAAAATTTGTAAAAGAGAGTAATTAACTGAGATTTAAGTCATGTAAGATTTGTAAGAACAACTTCTATAGCTCTTACTTTCCTCAAATAACATTTTCAAGTTCTCAAAATAACATTTTGAATTTAAGTAAGATATTCCATATATTAGTGCAGGTGTAATGTTAAAGTGAAATGTTATCTCAGTACACATTTAGGCAATTTTTTATGTTTTTGACTTGTTTAAATCTTACTGACAATTAAAATTAATATGTATAAATTATACTGTTGCAGTCTCAAGTAGATAGAACTCTGGATCAACAGTGCACTGTTACTCGACCAGGATTATCCTTTGTTGCTGCTGGTTTGGCTGTTGAATTAATGGTGTCTTTGTTACAACATCCATTGAAGTATGGTTTTTGTTCATTTGTACCAAATTTGTAATCAATTTACGTGATAAACACTCTGAAATAATTAGTTTATAATTGAAATCAATCTGACAAGCCGCAACTTGAAGAGTTTTTTTATATAGAATTTATTATCAAATTTGATATGAATAATAGAATATTCAAGTAAACAGCTTCTTTTGTTTCCTGTTGTGCCATTTGTTTTGCCATGTGTGGTAAAATTAGGAAGTTCTAAGATGTTTGATGAATTATCATTACCTTTCTTAATTATCTGATTTTTCAAATTTGGAGTGAGAATGAAGCAAGTAACACCCAAGGAATAATGGCAAAATTAGTGTATCTATCAGTATTTAATTGTGATGGTTTTCATTGTAACCATCTGTTGCTGTGATAACTTTTAACTGGCAAGAGTTATTGTATTGTTCATCTTTTCTCACAGGGCACAAGCACCTCCAGCATGTGAATCAGATGCTGAGAGTGGCCCTTTGAGTATTGTACCACATTCGTTACGTGGGTTCCTGTCTCAGTTTACGCAAATTTTACCTGCCAGCCCTCGTTTTGGAAATTGTATTGCATGTTCTGAACAGGTAATGTTGTCTTGTGCGGTTCCGAACTTTGTTGTAGTAATGTAGATGTTTATTGTATATTTAATGGGTTTTCCAGGTTTTAAATGAGTACTCTAAGCATGGCTTCAAGTTCTTGTTGAAAGTATTCAATGATCCCAAATACTTAGAAGATGTTGCTGGTTTAACAGAACTCCATGAGCAAACAGAGGAAGCAGAAGTATGTATAAATAGGTTGGACTAGGAAGTCTACTTATTCATTATTTAACTATTGAATTGTGTTATGTTCTTCTATATAACAAATATGTTCTTAGAACACAATAAAAACAAACAATTCATTCATAATTTCCAATACAACTCAAGTCTCTTAAAACGAAAAACATTGAATATTGTGTTAGGATGGCAATCAATCTCCAAGATTTTAATTTCCAGAAAGATAAGTAGAAAGACATAAATATATAATTACATAAAAATCTCTAGTCATTATTTTCACCATTTTTATTACTACCACATTCATTGTCACTACCAGAAGTGCACCCTTGATTTTTCTCTGAAAGGCTGCAGGTATAATGTCCAGCCGACTTGATTGTTTTCTTATGAAGAATTTTTCATTTATGATGAGTATAAAACATATTTTTATTTGTTGACTTAGTATTAATATTTATAGCATTAACAACTGATATATTTGTGACAACTAACATAAATTTTATCAATAATGAATGTTTGTAAAAGCTCTATTTTTGAATATGTATCATTGGCATCTTGAAGTCTAAAGCCTCTATGATCACCTCTCCCCCACCTTCCTCCTTCCCCCTGTGTGCACAAGTGGTCACGTGCAACATTGTTTCTTTCTGGTTCTTCTCCCATACTAAGTCATTAACTAACTGTTAAGTTTCCCCTGAAAGTTTTGCACATTGAACTTACATTGTTCATCTTGCATCTGACCTCTGGTTTAAAACCAGTAACTTGAAATTTACACCATTTAATGTTTGTGTGTCATCGATTTGTAAACAGCATACACGTACATCTTTGAGGGAGAGAGTGGCAAAGTTTCCATCACATGGGAATTTTTTTGCTAAGAAAATATTTTCCAAATTATATTTCTCTGGTTGGATGTAGAATATGTGCTTCTATCAGGCAAAAATGTTAACTTCGATCTCTTGCAAAACAGATTCACGCTCCCTGGGCGAGAAACCAAGAGTCCTTGTGACCTTGGCAACAGATTTCATTCATTTTCACTTACTACAGTCCCGTTCATTTGATATTTTCTCTTTACATGCTCATTCAAAAATATGGGTCTGGATCTCCAGCAAAATCCAGTGGGTTGCCAAGAATATGCATACCAATATAATGAGGTACTACAAATACACCCGGTGAATATAATATGAACTTATTTGACTTTTCAAATGAGATATTTAGGGGGAAAGAGTAAACTTATGATATATTTGGGAAAATATGGATTATGATTTCACGAAAAATATGTGTGTATCCTCACACATATCCATGTTCATGTTCATACTTGTACCCTCACATTCTTAATTGTCTCCCTTTCTTTCCCTGTCATCCTTGCATTTTACTTCTCTCTCCCTTTCCCCTTTCACATAACATACAATAATATAACAAAAATAATATCACTGAGATTTGTTTTCAGATACTTATGTGGAGCGATGATTCTGAAATAGAATGAAAGAGTAGTATGGTCATCACTACTTATCCACAAACACAAACTATCTTTCCTAATCATTCTTGTAAGTTGTATTATTATGCTTTGCTAGATTTATTTAATATAGTGCATAAGTTTAAGACTTCACTATGCATGGTTAAATAGATCCTGTAACAAGATATTAACCAATAGTTTTATGCATTTCTGGTTTCTTTTGTACCTCCTCCCTTTTCTCACCTTTTGAGAATTGAAACACAGCTGGTGTTCAATTTCCCTAGGAGCATTTTTTTGAATTGAATTGAATTGAATTTGCCTTATTTTACGTGGCGAGACTCTGTCCATCAGGCCCGCTCTTCCGCCTGACCATTAATTTTTAATTTTAAAAAGCATTCTTCAGATGTTAAAGAAACAAGCAATAGTTCATATCTTGATCCCTTAAACCGTTTCAACATGTTGATATCTAGTTCAGTGAGTTTTGAAGAAAGAGGTTTGTTGTTCACGGAAATCATTGTTTTGCGGTTTTTGTTGTACATTCTTAAGTGATTGATTATAACTCTTCTCTTTTCTTTTTGCCACTTTTTCATCGTTCCTGTGTGCCTCGACACCCCGCTGACCTTTAGATTTAAAGTGCATAAGCTAGTAATGTAGATAGAAATGTTTATAGATAGGTGTACAACGTATTCCTTAGATTTTTAACTAGAATAACTTTGTTTTGGAATTATATAATATGCAACTAGTGTATAATGTTCTGCTTGATCACATAAGTACATGTTTTGAAAATAGCAACATTAAGAGAAAGTTTTCAAGTTAAATAAAGCAACTCTTTAAATGATTGCATAAGCTAGTTTTTTGTATAACAGCATTGTAAATTTATAAATGAAATATACACGAGTTTTGACAATGTAGTTCATGTTAATGTGGAAAAAACAATGGTATGGTAAAGGAAATAATCTTCACAAAAGTTTTGTGGAGATTATTTCCTTTACCATACTATGGATTACCACAAGATATCTGCTACCACCATGGAATAAAAAAACAATGATTGGCCATGCACTTTAACACCACCATCTCCACCACCCACCCACTATTTGCTCACTGCGATTTGCTGTGTGTAAGGTGACATAATTATTTATGTCTTGTATGTCTAATACATCATAATCTGTGCTATAAAATGTCATTTTATGATATCTTACAGTGAACAAAATCACTTATAATGCTCATATACAAAAGTGTTTTTTTTATGATTAATTTAGGCAGAATGTTTTGTGATTAGTACTTCATTTATTAATGTCAGTGTATTCTGAATGTTGCTAGGTTGAATGACTTTCTTCAGTTCTCTCAAGAAGCATGCTCAAATTGCAAAGCAAGTGCTTTAATTATGCATCATATGAGACAGCTTGCAAAATTGAATGCAGCTTTTATGTTCACTTGAAATTCTGCTGCACTTTTCAAACATGGAGGAATATCTAGCACATGCTTCTCGTTTTCCTGGTCACATCAGATAGATGGTTTGAAACAAAAGGCTAGTACAAAAAGTTTGTTACGAAATTACAATTTACTTAGATGTGACTTGCTATCACTAGTGAATTATTGTTCTCTTATAAATTAACTTGTGCATAGCAAATTTTTAAGAGCAGAGCTCTGTGTATCATATTGGTGTATATATATTTTTACCTAAAGCTCGAATTGAATACTTTGTCATCAACATTATTTCCATGTATTATCAATTTTGAAATGTGAGAATTATCTGACTATGTTTTCATTCAAGGAAGACTACAATTAAACATTGAAATTATCATTACACTTCAGCAAATGGCAGTAAAATGAAAAGATACAAACGAAAGGATGGGTGGGGGGAGAAAGAAAGAAAATGAAAAAATCTGTCATGAAAAAAATATCTTGATCGTTTTTCTTGAAAGCTAACTTACAGATTTTTTGTAGATGTTTTGTTGTAAGATTAGAGTAATCCTTTTTGCATATCAATATTATTTTGTCATCACTTTTGAAATCATGAAGTTATGAAGTATTTTTTTTATATTTTGTTGCAGTTGTATACTGCTGAATTGAAGGACCAATTAATTGTTTTCTAATGAGTGTTGTTTGAGCTACAGTACTTCATTATTGATTAATGAATATACTGCTTGCTATTGTTTTAAATAAAATATGAATATTTAGACATTTGTTATATTGTAAAACATTTCTTATCCTCAACATTTTCCCAATAGCTTCTCAAATTTCAAGCAGTTAGGTAATGAATAATAAATATAGAGTCCAGACTGAGCCTGGAGGTCAGTGCGGGTGCTCCAGGTCCCGGCAGTCAGAGATCCCACAAATTCCATATAAAAGCAAACGCAGCGAAGAAACCGAGACAGCAAAACAGAAAGAGAAGAAATAGAAAGCAGTTGGAATGGTGCAAATGCTGCATATTCTCTCTTATTCTCATTTGTGAGAAAGGCTACATGAGACTGCAACCCATAAACATCCCTTGCATCTAGAATGTGCTTCAAGAAAGAAGCGAATCGAATTTTCTGTAGCCAGGGACTGTTGCTGCAAGCAAATAATCCTGTCCAGAAACTGTCCTTCCTATAATTTAAGGCACATCTTCCTAAATATCAAGAATTAAATCCAATTGTACTGTTTGTCAGTCTTCATTGAATTCATCATCATGAGCCTGCTCACATGAGCCACACTTGACCTTACATCAAGGCGTAAAGCTTGGTGACAGGCTGTACTAAGTTGCAAATTTAGCAAATTTCTTGGAACAGATGTACTTTCCATTGAGGAAAGTCTTTCCTTGCCTGCTCAAGAGAAAGAATCCCATTGCCAATGCATCCTTAATATTGCATTGGCATCCTTCCATCCATATCTTTTTTTTCCCTTCCTAGGTCAGTGACATCGATTCATAATCCAAGTTGAGATTTGAGAGATACTGAATGCTTAATTGATCACTCGATAGACCATCGCAGAGAAATTCCCTGCTGTCACTCCCTTCTCTCTTCATGTGACCAACTTTCACAAATTTTATCGCCATGATAGAATGGGTAGAGCAAGTAGCTGCATAACATAGATGGAGCTTCAAATGGTGATTCTGATGAAATTAAATAGTTAAACAGGAGGATCATTTCAAGTGTGTGGAATAGGCAGACTTTCCATGAAAATTATACACTTTGCCATCATGTCACATTCAATAGACATCCAGCCCCAAGAATTCTACGAAGCAGGGCCAAAAAAATGAGTGCTTTCAGTGAATCATAGATGACAATTGGATAGGACTTCAGAAAATATACCTAAAGTAAGCACTTTTCATTCAAAGTCCAAGGGTAACAAGTGCTCAAAGGTATAGGAAACAATTGGTAGTTGTCAAGCAAAAAATTCTATCTGGTTTCTTGAAAAGAAATGTTAATGTCCTTACTTGTGTTCATCCAGACTCGAGTGCAATGTTTAGTTCAGCATGAACACAGGACCTAGAAAAACTAGAGATTAATATTCACATGTTACATGCAATTTAAAATGGAGAATTGGTAATGAAGAAAGCATTGTTGATGGATGTCTCTAGCTCAAATAATTTAAAAGAAATTCACTTCCAAAATTCAACTTGACCAGGACAAAGGAAGATTCACTTAATTGAGATGTGTGTGATAAAAATTATCAAAATGGCATAGGCAGAGCTACTGATATACAATTTAATATAGAAACATTGACAATTTCTTGTAAGAAATTAATTTTGTGAGCGTAGTGGAAAAAAAAAACATAAGGTAGAAAGTTGCTTCCTCTACCATTACATAACTAATTTCACAGTTGTAGTTGGTCTACTCTCTGAAATGGATACCTTCTAAACGCTTATTTTGAATAAAATATTCCTATTATTAAAAAATATCAAGTATTGCATGTGGTACAGAAAATGCAACATTAATGTGTATCATTAAAAATACAAATGGTTACATTGCTTCAATTAAAAAACGTGACCATTAATAAACTCAAAAGATTTTTTTATATTGTTTTTCATGGAATCATAATGTCAATAACCCATTTCAACTGCAATGTTATGGTAGATGTGCAGTTTGCTCACTTTATCATGCAAAGAAAACCTTGTTTTTACGACTGTAAATTGTTATATCTGATATTTATATTATGGCCAGTTGTGTCTCTTGAAGTGAAACGTCTTGAAGTGTCTTGTGAAATGAAGATTTCTTAGTTAAATTTAGTTTCGTATGTTTTTATGAAATAGAAAATGTAAAATACTAGCATAGTTCTTTTGTGTGATTTACCTTTTACTATTGAATTAATATAAACAGTTAAGTACTACACATAATTTTATCTATTAAAAAATGTATGTTAACAAATATTGTTTGGTATCGCTTTCTTAGCAGAAAATCAAGAGCATTTTTTTCCCTGACCATAGATACAAAATACGATTCAGTGATAGAGTAAATTGTGTAATAAGAGTCCTCCACACGAAAACCTATTTAGGGCCCCTGCAAGGCTTAAACTGGCCCTGAGAGTATCGGTATAAAGTTTTCCCATTAAAAAATAAATGAAGCTGATGTCAATTAGTTGCAATTGCAACTTGGAATAATTTATATCTCGTATTGTAAAGTTATCAAGTGAATCTGAATGTGTATACAACATCATACATGGAGTTCCATCATTTCTTGAAATCCACTCAGTTGGAAATTACAGTAAAAGTTATGTCCATCCCAAGTATAAACGTAATGTTGTGAGGCTGACTGAACCTAGCTGAGCATGAAGTCTAATGCAAATCAGTTGAAGTCAGAAAATTCCATTCCAGCAAGGGCTAGATCTAAGAAGGTTGGGTATGATAACTTTTTTTTGTTATATTGAATATGATTAAGTTTTTATTAATGGCAGTCATAAACGCTTATATGTTTTTGTTGAATGTTACATTAATAATGTATTTTGAAAAAATTAGACCGATTAGTTTTGTATATTCGTATTTCATGGTTTATTGAATTTTCATATGCTTATTTTCAGCATTTTGAGGTTTGGTGATTTGGTCTCATCCTCAAGAGCTGAAATTAAATTCGAAAAGTAGCCTTAGTGGTTACATTTTTAGATGTGTTAGTTACATAATTTGCATAAAATGCTCTTTTTTTTGAGATTTTCAAATGATATGACTTCAATCAAGAGATAAACATAATAAATACATATCTTGACAGTGACACATTTTTCAGTAGAAATCATGGAGAGTGGTGGTCCTCTGCATGTTATACTTGCATGTATAGTCAAATCCAGGTTTGGTAATGGAAATAAATTTGATTTGGATGGTGGGAAAAGCCAAGAGGGGAGAGAATAGCAGTTAATAAGTGTTTTTTTAGAGTGTAAATGAAATATTAAATGTTATAAATGCTGGAGACACTTTACAGTTTTGTGTAATAATATGTCATACATAATGAATATAACTAGTTTTTGTCATTGGGTTCACACTGATGTAAAGTTTAACTTGGATATTTTCTTATATTTTTCTTGGATACTTTCTTTCTCCTGGTTAATTATGCACATTTTTCAAACACCTATCGAGATCAAATTGTAATTAGGTTTTTTTAAGGGACCTGATATTATGTTCTTATAAACCTATATAAATGAATCTAATAGAAATGTTTAATAGATGGGAAGAGTTAGATTAAGTAACATTTGCAAATCATTGGTAAGTATCAGCAATTCTTCAGTACAACAGTAAAATTTTAATAAACGGTATTCTTCAAGTTTCCCGCTGTTAAGTGTGATTGTCAGTGCCATCTAGGAGTAAATGATTAAGCAGGTTCTGGAGAGACATGCAGTATGAAATACATTGTTGGTGTCATCCTTGTGTCTTTATCAATAATAATTTTACTTGATTGCTAATAGGCTTTAAAATTAAATATTTTTTAGGTTATTTGTATTACTGTGGGAGTGGGAAAAACTAGGGAACAGTAATCATTATCTTCTGTGTATTTATCAGTACGTTGGCAGCAATGAGCACATACATTCCATCGTAGTGACGTCAGGAATAATGCAGTAAGTGTGACAGTGCAAATGGAATACATCTTTGAAAATTAGTTAAACATTACTATTTACCTTTACGATCAAGTGATATGATCATATTACAAACAATTTTGAAGAAGAATCCAGGACATCTCATTGTTCCTAAATTTTGACCAATCCGGTTAACTCAACTACACGTGGAAGTAGTTGACGCTTTTTAACAGAGGTGGCAGCATGAGCGTTGGCTCCATTCTTTTCATTCCTAGCATTCCAAAATTCCGAGGTTGGGCACAATGTCAGAAGCCTGTTTGTTAGTTCAATAGTGTTGAGGAATTTACGATATATAGTGAGAAATTGCTTGTGCCCGAAGTACATATACACCAAGGAAGAAGAGAAAATACAATAGGAATGTAAGTCCATATTACACTTTACAAATTATGAGTGTGTATTGTTTATTTATTAGTATTTTGTAATTGTCACTAAGTTTGAAGTGATTTCCTTCGATTTTTTTATTTGAAAATATTTTTATCATATGTTCAGCCTCATTCCACAGTATTATTGGATTTTTCATATATTAAAAATGTGAATGTCAAATGTCACTATTTGTTTATTAATAATATGTTGTCTAACAGAACGATGTTACTTTTTTTTGCAGTAATTTTGCTATGGAAACGACAGAATCACCTCTTGACGTGCTGTCCCGTGCTGCAACAATGATCAAAGATAGCTCTCCCGATGTGGGTGAGTTTTGTAAATTCTAAACCTCTCGATTTTATTTCCGAACATGTTCATCACTGGATTCATCAATGTTTTATAATGTATTTTTTCTGTTCTCATTTTGTTGACGAATTTTTGTTACTATGCACCTTTTATTTCACCATCGCTTACATTCCCCCTCGCTCGTCGTTTTTTAGCGATGTGTCACTTCAAGAATGCAACCACGAACAGTATTGTAAGAGGGCATGAGCGTTCTTGTGTAAATACGAGTAATGACAGACCGTAAAACTACCGAATTGCACATTATTGTCGTTTCAGGATTCGTGCATTAATTGCATGAAGTGGCAAATATTTAAGTAGATCGATGGAATGCGAGACCATCGTGCTCTTTCATTCTTCCTTTTTTTCTTTTTTTGCGTGGAAAAATGTGAAAGTAGTGTAGGTGCAATTTTGCCACTTGAGAGCGTTCCCTGAAGTTGTCATCGCAGTGTTTTGGGATTTTCAAATACGCTAGTTGAAAGCACGTGTTCGTTTCAGTAAAACAAGGGAGTGTTGAGCGTTATCATTAGGTGTTACGTAAGATTGCTTATTCTAAAGAGGTAAGTTTTATGAAAGTGATTAGAGTAAATGTATAACTGTGGTTTTAGACCTATTTTTTACCGTCACAGATATATTTATAATGGATTGTGTCGATTTTTACAAACATTTTCAAAACCGGAGTTTGAAATATCTTCAAAACATCATAAGCTATACATCGTTTGTTTTATGTGACCGATGACATTAGGTCATTGTTACACTCCTGCCATATAACGTGAATATTTTATAATTAATTTGCGAACGTCTTTCTCAAAGGGGCTCGTGGCTTCATATATGTGCTTAACATTGTTAAAAATATTCGTTTTATAAGACAGGAGGTATAACAATGATTTTGTCATCGGCCGCTTTAAATAGTCGAAGTATAAATCTGCGTTAGCTTCAATCGGAATAACGGGAAACGTATGCGGTGGTAAAGTAACTCTTGTGGATAATTCCCAAGTTGACCCCTGGGTATGTCTATGGAAAAAGAAAAAAATTAAAATCGGGTGAAGTAAGGTGGAGTAATGTTTCGCCGACGACCTACGATCTCCATAAAATCTCAGAAACTCGTTGCGCATAATTTACTTGAAATACACGGACTAGTTTCGCCCACAGATTCACACGACAAAATGTGCCCACAAAGACAGAAATAAAAAGACAAATGAGTAAATATCTGTTTTTTTTTACGGTAGGATTATGTTGTACTTGACAATTCTTTTTCATGCCATCTGATACTTGCATCATGTACAAATTCCTACATTTAGATTGCAATTATGTTATTAATTATTAGTCAGTTGTGATTTCTATGATGTCAGAGTCGAAAAGGACTGAACATGTGAGAAAATTGGAAAGCCGAGTGAAATGTTTTGAAAATAAATGGAACTTCCTAGATCCGTTTAGGAAATGCTCAGATGGCCCACTTCTTTTCTTATGGATATGCACATGTTTTATGGAGCTCTATTTTTACGAAAGTTGGAGGAATAAGGCAGGTGGAGTCGTTAATTTGTCAGCAATACCATAAACTCAAATATGTTGTTTTGTGCCGCTTAAAAAGCATTTTCTATTGCTCTGGAGCGAACATTTCTAGTTTTCAAATGTAATCAATCACGCTCGTTGCCTTTTATAATTCAACTAGCATGTATGGCAAAATAGATTATAGATAGATAGGGATTCTGGAAAACGTACAAAAATGAGCATAGATTGATTTTCTCCGCCATACGCCACGTGCTGTATTTTCTATTCTTTGACTATTGAAATCAATATTTTCTTTTTTTTACTATTGAAAATATATCGCCATATTTAAGGAATCTGAAAAAAAATGTCATAAATAGGTTTCATTTTCATCAAAACATTTGGAAAATTTCGTTTCAGGAAAACAGGTTCAGTTCTTGATCTTGTTCTCCATCACAAATATTTTTTAAAAATAAATAGACGAAATATATTGTAATATAAATGGTCGAAAAACGCAAAGGAGATGTGTTTAAATACCTGTTGTCTCGAGCCTTCTGGGTTTGCAATTACGAATCGGGCTACTATTGCATAATTTTTGTTGTTTAGAGAAATTAGATTCTACATCTTCAGAAAGAAAATTATTTCCCTGCACTGTGGGAAAAACTTCAATTCCTATTTAGAAAGTCCTCTTAAGGGCGTCCGGTGTCTTGGGGATTTATCGTCTGCCTTGTGCAGTTTCAAATCCAGCGTAATGCTGCTGCTGCTACTACAAAGAAATGAGCAAAACTGTTTGGTGTTTTAAATGCGTCTGGTGTATCACCTGGCACAGGAAAAACCATATCATTGGCATGATACCCATTTTAATCGTTGCACTGGCGAATTGTTGTATGTTGTAACTGTTCTCTTGACGCTATCATTAGACTGAGAAAATGAAAATCATTTGCACACTTTTCTCCGTTGCAATTAATATTAGAGAATAATTTTCCATTCATTGGCACCTTTTCTGTCTCCACCTCGTATGAAAACCCATTGACTCTTTCGCTGAAGCTTCGCGGCCTCGTGTAATCAAAGCTGTTTTAATCAAAATGCCCCGGACCACCGTTTAAAACCACAGAGGTTTCAGGATCCAAGCATTAAAAAAAAATTGAGTGAAAATAATAATTGAATTTATTAAATAATCAAGTGAATTTTTGACAAGTCGGATATATCAGGAAACCCTAAACGATTGCTTTTAATTGTTTAATTTAATGTGTAAAATTTTGTTTGCAATATCATTCAATTGTTACCTTTATCGCTATATCATTCAACATATCACCCAATATCATTTATTAAAAAAATATTTTCTGTCAGATTTCAGTAAATCTGCGTCATTGTGGATACTGCTTCATCACAAACCCCCTTTAACGCTACTTTTGGTCTTATTCCTTCGCTTTACAGACTCAGACGACGATAACGTGATTTGGCATAATGTAGTTAAATGAAAACAAGCGGTGCCAAAATGCAATGCGTGCATGCGGCCCACTATCTGGGTGTAGCTCTCCAAGGGTGTGCGAGGAGTCGAAGGCGGCTGTGGCGACGCGCCGCTTCGCGTGCGAGTATCGCGTTTTGGCCGCAAGCCCTCGGCGTGTGCGTCGCGGTGGGCCGCAGCGAGCGGCCCGCCCCGGTCCGGCGTCTCCGCGCGCGAGCGAGCGAGGGAGCAAGCAAGCGAGCGAGCGATAGAGCGGGCTCGCGCGCTCTCTCGCGCGGTGCTGCCCGACGCGGCCGAGCGCTTCACGGAACCTTCGCTGGAATGTGGGCCGACAACTCCCTCGTGATAGGCGCAGCGCCGCGCTCTCCGGCGCGCCACGCCGCCATTGCCGCCGCCTGACCGGCGTGCCACAGCTGCCGCCCATGCCGCAGTCTGTCGCACATCTCTGTGCCTCGGGTGTGCGCCCCCCCCCCCCACTCTCCACTCCTTTGCTCTGATCGTCTTGCTTCTGAGCCCGTCGTCTCTCCGCGGCTTCTTCATACCGACGGTCGTTTGCGCTCGAGTTTATCGGCGTATCTTCTCTGACGTTCCTATTGCGAATATCCACGCATCCCCGTGGCTGTCCGCCCGTCATACCGCCACACATACTGCCCATCAGTATGTATGTTCCAAGTACCTTAAGTGGGCATTGAATGGGCCAATTGTTCTACTTTTTCGTAACGGCATTCATTTGCCTTCATTGTCATATAACTTTTTTAACCTGGTGAATGTGTACCTAGAGACCTAGAGAAGAATCGAGATCTGCTGCAAAATATTGAATTATATGAAGCCCTAGAAATGAAGACTATTACACTTGCGACTAAAACAGCTGATTGACAAAGCTTTTAAGAAAATACTTCGCGAGAATCGGTTGTCAGTCCATAATAATGCAGTCAAATTACACAACATACTTCCATCAATCTTGAAAACATCAGGATTTTTTAAAAGTGTTAAGTTAAATTTCGTTTAAGAGGCATCCAATTTTCTTGTAATTTTTTATACCTTTACAAGTCTGCAGTCAAGACACTCTAAATGATGTAACTTTTTAGGTTATAAAATAATATTTGGTTAGCAGACTGCAATATTATCTCGCCGAGAGAATCGAAGCAACTTACTGAGGTACTGAAGATTAGGCCATGCGTTATCTCGGTTGATTTTTAAAAATATTTTATTTTCATATAAACTCTGCGGAGGCGGGAATTTATTATTTCATTTTGAATCAAATGTTTCTACCTTTGCAACTTAAATAACTGAAGGTAGGCATTTTCCTAAGTTACTTTAAACTATGTTGACGATGGCTTATTCCCCTTTCTTTTTCTTGCTCCATTTTCACATCCACTTGTAATCAACCGACTTTGTGGACACTGCTTCATCACAAACCTCTTTAACGCTGTACTCACTCGTAGTTCTTCGCGTTACAGTTTCAGAAGAACGTTTACGGAAGCTTTGCTTCTATATATTTATTTCTTAAACTCGGCAGTAGGTGATATGTTGAGATTTTGTAGTGTGAAAAGTGTGAATACCTATTGATTGTTTGATATTTATGTTTAATATCGCACAAAACCAGCATCGATAGCTGCAATAAAAGCCAAAATTTGCTTGATGTGTTCGTTGAATATCAGTGAATGTGTGCTGCCTGATGAGTTCTCGTTTGTAGGTTGATTGCTCTGATCAGTGGCTTCCTGGATCACGTCCAGAAGAGTGCCAAAACCATCTTTTAGAAGCGTGCAATGGACTGCGCGCGAGTTCCCCTTCTCAGCTACCTTCGAAGACTCGCTCTGGGGCGTCATAGGGAAGTACGCTCACCCGCCCGCACCATCACAAAAAAAACTAAAAATGTCTAATAATAATAATAATAATAATAATAATAATAATAATAATAATAATAATCAAGGAATTTGAGTCCTCGATCGAAAAACCAGAAAACTGCTTATAATGCATCATGTCGCCCGCCCTCGACCTCATATACATAGACTTAGTTACACGTAAG